GGGGGCAGCTCTTGCATTGAGCGTCTGCCCCCTAGTGGTCAGGGCTCATCATAGCAACCAGTCGTTCTGCTGTTCAGTCAATTTGCATATTAGCTTTTTATTATATAAGATTACAGCAGGAGTGTAGATTTGACTTAGACCCAAATCAGGATAGTGACAGATTGCTACCAAGCACTGCTGTATTGCCATTCAACACTAGCAAGACCTACAATCGGAAAACCAAATTCATCCCAGAAAACAATCAAAGTGTTCATCGATGGATGCATGGATAAATAAAATGTGGTATATGCATACAACGGAATATTATTCAGTCATAAAAGAGAATGAAGTCTTGCTGTCTGTGACAGTATGGATGGACCTGGAGAGGATTATGCTAAGGGGAAAAAAGCCAGTTAGAGAAAGATAAATAACCATCTGATCTCACCTGCATGTGGAATATTTTTTAAACTCAGAGAGAACAGACCGCTGATTGCCAGGAGGGTTGTGTGTGAGAGTGGGCAAAATGGATTAAGTGGGTGGTGGTTAAAAGGTAGAAACTTACAGTTAAAAATAAAATTTTATATGGTCATGGGATGTGTAATGTCCAGTGTGGTGACTATAGTTAATCCTGGACTGCATGTTTGAAAGTTGCTAAGAAACCAGGTCTTAAAAGCCCTCATCACAAGGAAAAAAATCAGTTGTAACTCTTGATGATGGATATTAATTAGATTTAGTGTGGTGGTCGTTTTTCATTATATACAAATACCAAATTGTTATTTTATACACCTGAAACTAATATAACGGTATGGGTTAATTAAACCTCGGTAAAAATTCATCTTTATGATTCCTTTTCATATAATCTTTTATTACTTGGAGACTTAAGTCTGTGGGGTAAATCAGTGAATGGTTAGGATTTTTAATTGCATGAGCAATACATTCTCAGTAGAAATTATAAGTATTCTGACAGCTGCCTGGAAGCCGATCAGCGTCGTCAGAGACACCAGAATGGCTCAGGTCCACAGTGCTTTGAAAGGAGAAAGGGGACTATTTTTATCTTCCCGGGAAACACATAACTTATACACTTCTTAGGCTTATCTAAACCTCCAACGTGGGAGGAATTAGGGAAAGTGTCATTTGGTGTCCTGCTGGTTGCAGAATATATAAGAAACCATAGCTTAGAGTTAACCTGGAGAATTACAGAGTGTTAAGTGTCTTTAAAAGCACAATGTATATTTAATGCCTTACCCTGTGCTTTGAGACACTTAACAAAAATGCAGATGAGCCCAGATTGCCATTTTTTTTTAAGGAATCAGATTTGTACCTAGCTTAGTCTTGTATGCATTAAACATTTTCATAGTGCAACGTATCACGCACAGCCCAAACTGTAATCATGCAACTTAGCCTTTTCCGAACGAGTCCTCTCGTCACCAGCACTGGGGACAGGGCTGGGATTAGGGTGAGGCAAGAGAAGGCACCTAGGGTGCAAAATTCAAGGAAGTGCTCACCCGTGGTGCCCACCCTGCACTTGGCAGGACCTCGAGGCCGACTACCTTCTTAAATTCTGTATCCAGAGTGTTTTCCTTGCTTCACCCTAGTCCCAGCCTGATCAAGGGTCCCTTGAGGGTACTTTTAAAAAGAGTATTGCTAGGTTAGATCCTCAACCTATGCAAAAAAAAAAAAAAAAAAAAAAAATCAATCAATCAATCAATCAATCTCCGTGGGTGGGGCCAGCCACCTGCATTTTTGCCTTTAGTATTTTTCGATGCACATTGAAGTTTGAGGACCCTCTGCGCTTGGTTGGCAAACCTAAGGCCCCAGAGGAAAAAAATGCTGCTCTGCCGGCTTCAGGTTATGCCTGGGACAGGTAGCTGAAAAGCTTGCCTCATTAGCCAGCACACGGGAACAAGTAGGCCAGCCCCAGCCTAGTTGTTGTGTAACCACGACCAGGTGTCACGCTGGAAGGCTTGGACCGGGCAGCGCTTCTAACCAAAGCGGAATGTGATTGGTTATGTAATTTTGAACTGTTCCAGTTTTTTTTTGTTTTTTTTTAATGAAAAATGTTTTTATAGGTTCTTTATTAGCCACATTTTCATTGTAAACAAAAATGTCTTAACAATCATTTTAAAAGAATAAAATAGAGACGACCCATCACCAATGACCCAGAGGTAACCATTGTTCACATCTTCAGTTATCCTTTCAGCCTTTTTCCCCCCTGTTGAGTCAGTGGCACAGAAAGCCATGCTGTGGCACTAGGAAGGGTGAGTGACAAAAGGAATATCGGTCTGAGGAGATCTGTCTTATGAACTCAGGCACGTCTGAGTCCTGTCTAGCTATCTTTGCTCTCTCTGTGGTGTGGATCCTGCCCTCTCCACATTAATCTCAGTATCAAAAGGAATTCACGTGTGCCGGTACATATGTGAGTTTCTTAACTGTGCAAAAGTAGTGGAAACTAGTGCCCCTGCACAGGAACGTTGACCTTAGGCTAAGGTGACCAGACGTCCCACTTTTTAACAATTTGTCCCGCATCCTGCGGCGTTTTAAAAAAGTCCCAATTTTTGGAAAGAATCGGGACTGTCCCGCCAAAAGCGGGACGTCTGGTCATCTTACCTTAGGCTATTTTTCCAGATCTCTTCTTGTGACTCTAATTGGATTCCTGTGGAATATGTGGGACTTGTTCCTTTGGAGGAGACATCGTCCTTCAACAGCTCTTTCTGTGTGTCCACCTCCGGTCAGAGTACAGATGGACTGAAGAAGTGCAGTGCGGTGCAGGAATGTCAGGTGTTCTAAAGTCCCGCAGGAATAGGGAGGAGGGACCAACCACCTTGGCCTTGGAGAGTTGAGCATGGCTTGGAAAAGGAGGTGACCCTGGAACTGAGTCCAGAGAGATCCCCCGAAGGCCACCTGCAGGCTCCGGCAAAGAGCACGCTTCCAAAGCTGCACTTTTTGTGTGTGTGTTATGTCCTACTTTCCAGTTTGATCACACAGTTGCCCGTGATAATTAGACGAAGCCTGCCAGATGGATGCTTTCGCAAGGCGATGGCTCGCTTTCTTGCTCTATTTGTGAAAGCTGGCATTGGGTCCAGAGTCTCAAGGATGCCCCTACCTTGAGATTGCTTTGGAGTGTCGCTCTCTTGTGTATTTAGCCAAATGGCCAGCCCCATCGGCAGGGCCAGGTTGAGTGACAGGTGGGTGTGCCATGCATGTGGACACTCTGATCCCCGCCAAGCTGTTTTGCCTGCAAGGAGTTGAGGTGCTGAGAGGTTGTTTTACAAAGATGTCCTGTATCCGTGGTACCTTCCTCTGAGGAAATAAGTTCCCTGAGCTTCTGGTCCGTCCGTCTTTCCTTCTCACCACCGAGCTTTCCTATCCGCTGCCACAGAATTGATGTCAAATCCCCACTTTATCAGATTCAAACACATACCCCATTTCACACTTTCTTAATGAAGCAATTTTTAGATCGTGGAAGAGAACACGTAGAGTGGCAAATGTAGTGAACTTAATTGCTAGCAAACTTGATTAGCCAAGGAGGGTGGGCACTCTAAACAGAAAAGAGTAACTGAATCATTAATAATTGTTTCATTTCTACAAATTGTTCTTAGCTTTTTCATTCATTTCTGTGAATCATTCTTGTCCTCCGTCTCATATAATTGTCACAAAATCCCTATGAAATGGGTATTATTTAATTAACGAGACATACCAATGGGTTGCCTTCCTCACACACTCTGACCCAATTCCAGGGGTCAAACCTGCAACCCGGGAATGTACCCTTGACCGGGAATAGAACCCAAGGTCTTTGGTGTGAGGGTTGACACTCTAACCATTGAGCATACCAGCCATGGCATAAGGAATGGCCCATTTTACCCAGGAAAAGACCTGATGGAGGTTCCCAGAACTGGCAGAACCCAAGATCTTTGGTAGGAGGGTTGACACTCTAACCATTGAGCATAACGGTCATGGCATAATGAATGGCCCATTTTACCCAATGGAGACTTGATGGAGGCGCCCAGCACTGGCGAGTGTCCAAGCCGGTGTGCAGGGCTGTCTACCACACACGTGGCCTTCCGAGTTCAGTACTTACCTGGGCACTCGATGCTGCACCAAGCACATCCACCCCTTCCTTGCCGTGCAGATGCCATAGTTCAGCTTGCTCATTCTCGAAGGGTTAAGACACTTCAAATACGTTACTAATAGAACAACTGAACCTAAGTTCATTCCTTCCCACGTTAGACATAATCTTGAGGATTTGCTTTAGGGCACCCTTGATTGAATATCCGTTGATTATTGTAGTTACACAGAAATGTCGAATTCGAGCATTCCTGCTGATATAATTTACTCTCTTGGTGATTGTGCTCAGGTTTGGATAAGTGTATGAATAAAACTCTGGGGCTGGCTTCCTCCTCTAATTTTGTATTTTGCATCTGAAGTAAAAAAATTTGGAGCTAAAAGCCCATATTGTATAATATTTTACTCTTACGTTTTGGGTTTTCTGTGAATAGGGTGAACCAGCTCCTTATCTGTACCACTTCTTCACCTCCTTCTCTAGAGAAGAGGGAATTCTTGAGGGGGGGAGGGGCTTTGCTCTTCCTGTAGTCATTCATTCATTCATTCATTCATTCCAGTCCCCACCTTAACTTTGAAATTCAATGTGGAGAATTTTCACCATTAGGATAATCGGGAAGTGTTAGTGTCTTCATTGAAGCAGCCTTTCCGCTTCCCACTCCCTGGAAGCAGACCCCCTGCCAGGCGGTCCTGCCCTTCACGTAAGCCATCCCAGGAACTGAGTTCTCCGAGACCCCGCATCCACAGGGCGCGCTGTTCTCACTGTGGAAGCCTTTCCTGGCCTGACTCTCACGAACCCCCCTCCCTGGACCTTCCATGCACCAGTTTGGATTCTTCCCTCGAGTGACGTGTTCCCCCAAGGTCCTCTCCAGCCTCATGCAGGTTCTGAGGGTCCTGAGCGGAGTGAGTCTTAGAGACACTCTCCAGCAGTTTGACGTGCGGCTCCTTCTCTTTTCCTGCAGCAAAACCGGAAATCTTGTCTCGTGAGAGGCTCACGAATGGCATGCTCCAGTGCGTGGCAGCAGGATTCCCGGAGCCCACCATAGACTGGTACTTCTGTCCAGGATCAGAGCACGGGTGAGATGATTATTTTTGTTACCACTTAGCATGCAGAAGGGAAGGACTGCAATTCAGCTGAATTTTAACTGTTTTCAGATCTTTCTCTCCCACCCCCTAAACCCTCAAAAAAAAGCTTTGTTTCGAGGATTCTACTTTTCTGCCCATGTGGCTTTTGCGACAGCATAATTGCTATATTTTTCTTGGTAGATATTAATTTTGTTTGCTGAAAACGATTACTGAGAGTGACTTCTCTGTTTTGGGTGGTTATCTTTTTGGATTTATTATGCAATTGTAGCCCCGCAGGTAGGTAGAGCAATTTTCCAGGACTGAGTAATTAGATTTCCATTCTGTACACGGGAGGTAATGTGTGCGGGAGATGTGGCTGTAGTTGTTGTGGGAAAAAAAAAAATTACCTCCAAAGTTAATTGCCACGTTACCAAAAAGTAATGACGGTACGGCTACAGCGTGCATATGGCGTGTGTCAGCTCCGCGTTCGGAAGCCGCTTTCCCGGTGATTAGGTGCTCAGCCCCTGAGCAGAGCACATCTGGCTTCGAGCTTCCTCTCCCCGAGAATCCACACTTAAGCCTTAAATCGTCCTTTCATATTACCTGAGGATGGAAATGGGGTCAACGCTGCTGTTTTTTATCCAGCAAATGGTATTTTATGCTCAGGCTTTAAAAGCTCGGTGTAACATCACAATGGAACCATGCGGAAATTTTATTTTCCATGGAATAGACCTTTTTTTTTTTTTATCACAACAAGTAGGAAGAGGTTACATAGGGTTGTGCTTCTCAGCTGAGTTTGAGTGAATGTTTTCTTTGGGAAATACCATATCAATCATGATGTTAAGTCCATTCCATCATTGGCCTTGTCATTTCTATATTTGCAATAATAGGGCTGGTTCAAGACCCCTGAAAGTTGGTCATTTAGCAATTATTTATGGTGTGCCAACTGTGTGCCTGACACTGGTCTAGGGGACAAAATACTCCCTGGTCCCGGCCTTGTAAGCTCATGTTTAATGGGTGGAGATGGACAAAAGACTGTAAAGTAAACAGCTAATGCAGGCAGATATAAATGCTAAGGAGGAAGACAGAGCAAGGTAAGGAATGGGAAACTGCTAGGCACGTGGGGGAAGGCAGGGAGGGATCATTTAATTGGACTCATCAGGGCCTGGCTCTCCAGGGTCTTGGCCACCTGGAGTCCATCCTGGCAGGACAGCCTGCACTTCCCGGCATAGAACCTTTAGGGGGGTCCTCTCTACTAGGGTTTTGGGGGTTGCCTGTGACCATCATGTTGACACAAGGCTTTCTTGCTCCATGCTTTTCCTCTTCAACCTTTCGCTATCAGTTTATTTAAGGATATTTAAGTCATTTCTGCTTAACAAGACAAGGTGAGTCTAATCATCCCAGTGTTACAGCTGTAGGCACTGAGTCTTGTAGATTCTGAAGTAACTTGTCAGGAGTCAACAGAAAAGGTGTTTGAGTTCAGGATTCAAACTCACACCTCACTCCAAAGCCCCCTCTCTCCGTCTTCTCTTCCGTGGTACTTTCCCCCCTCTCTGTGCACGGAAGGGCTCACTGGTCCTCAGACACTTCCGGTTATCAGAGGACATGTCCAGTCATGAACCCCTAACTTAGGGTGTTTGAGGGAGGGTGCTCCTGGAGTAAGTCTGGGCTGTTGTTTGCTCCCCCCTAGATGTTCTGTTCCTGATGGGCCGGTGAATGTGCAGATACAGAACTCCTCCGTGTCCCCGTTTGGCAAGCTGGTGGTTCAGAGCTCCATCCATGACAGTGCCTTCAAGCTCAACGGCACGGTCGAGTGCAGGGCTTACAACGATGTGGGCAAGAGTTCTGCCTTTTTTAACTTTGCATTTAAAGGTAACAGCAAAGGTATATTTCCTTTTAATCCAATTTAAGGGGATGTTTAGGCTCTGCTACCATATCAGTCATGATCTTAAGTCCATTCCATCGTTGGCCATGTCATTTCTGGTAATATCTACATTGCCCTGTCCTGTCATCAAACTCACTAAGTTTCATTCTGTGCTAGTCTGTTAATAAAATGTATGCAGTAATTTTACCCATGGTACTATATGTATCTTACACATGTGGGTACACATATCTATGTATGTATGTATGCATGCATGCATGTGTGTACACATATAATGCATCATATATTTCTAATTGTTTTTATTTAAAAGGAGTAGAGAAGGGAAATGGGGGGAATATAGTTTCCTTATATCCATACAGAAACAGAATTAGGATATTCTGAATTTAAACATTCATATTCCATTTAAAATCAGTTATTTTTAACACATTGCCAGATACTATATCTGAGAGTTAACACTGCCTTTTATGAAGTCATGTTAGGGAGGGAGCTGTTTCTTTAACATCTTTAAAATTTGATTCATGAGTGACTGGCTCTCCTAACAGAAGTTAAATGATCCTTGTGGACACATTGATGAATTGGCATGACATTAGGAGACAAAGAAACTGAGCACCTACATTCTCGGGGCTCACTTTTTTGTTTTCCCGAGTTGGCAAAGACGAGTGCCAAAAGTGGTGCATTCTCAGCTTTTGAGTAATGAGGGGAAGAAGTCTTACATTGTTCTGCACCATAGATTTTTTTTTTTCTTCAGACGGGGCAATAAAAAGAACACTTTAAAAGTGTTTTCCTCCGTGTAGAAAACTTGGAAAACACAAGAAAGCATAAAGAAGAAAATAGAAACCACCCACAAAGGACATTTCTTAAAAGTTGTCAAAGGAGGGAGTTTGGTAGAAGCACCAAGTTCACTCAGGTGTTGGCTTTTCATTGACCAACGGCATCACATTAATTTTGCGCTATAGGAATCTTCAGCTCTCTTCCACAGTATCTGGCTCAAAATTATTTTTACAAAGATTCCCTTGAATCACAGGCATTCCGATGATCACCAAGGCAAGCAGCTGGGATGTGCATGGCTTTGCCACCCGCCATGGGCTGTGAGGTGGGAGGTGGGCGGTTTGGGGCGGATGGCTGCGGTGAAGAGACCGTCCCGCTGCTGAGTTGTGATTCCACGCTCCTCTTCCATTTCAGAGCAAATCCACGCTCACACCCTGTTCACGCCGCTGCTGATCGGCTTTGTGGTTGCAGCCGGCATGATGTGCATTATCGTGATGATTCTGACCTACAAGTATTTACAGGTAATTCTTCGTTTGTTCTCTGCCCTGAGCGCTGTATATGATTGACACGGTGATCATTAAAAGGAAATACATCTTTTCCTTTCTCCCCCCCCCCCCCCCCAGAAGCCCATGTATGAAGTGCAGTGGAAGGTTGTGGAGGAGATCAATGGAAACAATTACGTGTACATAGACCCAACGCAGCTTCCGTACGATCACAAATGGGAGTTTCCCAGGAACAGGCTGAGTTTTGGTCAGTATGAAACGGGGCCTTTCTGGGGAGCCTTTTTGTGTTCACGTAACAGTGACTTTAGGGAACCCGAACCCTCTTTTTCTTCCACCCGAGGCGATCAGTGTTTTCCGGGCCAAGTCATCATCTTTGAGATGGTGACATAAAGCACTTGGGGAAATGTATGTAAACTATGGTGACCAGACGTCCCGCTTTTTGCGGGACAGTCCCGATCTTTTATAATTTGTCCCGCGTCCTGCAGCGTTTTTAAAAAGTCCCGATAAAAAAATCGGGACTTTTTTAAAATGCTGCAGGGAAAATTGTTAAAAATCGGGACTTGCCAAAACCGGTTTGGCTCAGTGGATAGAGCGTCGGCCTGCGGACTGAAAGGTCCCAGGTTTGATTCCGGTCAAGGGCATGTACCTTGGTTGCGGGCACATCCCCAGTGGGGTGTGTGCAGGAGGCAGCTGATCAATGTTTCTCTCTCTCCAATGTTTCTATCTCTCTATCTCTCTCCTTTCCTCTCTGTAAAAAAATCAATAAAATATATATATTTTTTAAAAATCAGGACTGTCCCGCCGAAAGTGGGACATCTGGTCACCTTAATAAGCGCATATCCTTACTGCCATTGTGAAAACCACACAGATGGTCCTTTGGTCCAGCCCACTTACGTGGCTGTCTTGCTTTCTGCAGGAAAGACCTTGGGGGCCGGTGCCTTCGGGAAAGTGGTGGAGGCCACCGCGTACGGCTTGATTAAGTCGGATGCAGCCATGACTGTTGCTGTGAAGATGCTGAAGCGTAAGTTTCTTCAGGCTGCTGCCTGTATGCAACATCCGTTTGCCAATTTTTTTAAAAAACTTTTGCTAAAATCAGATGTTTCTCATTTCAGCGAGTGCCCATTTAACAGAACGCGAAGCCCTCATGTCTGAACTCAAGGTCCTGAGCTACCTGGGCAACCACATGAACATCGTGAATCTCCTGGGAGCGTGCACCATCGGAGGTAATGCCGCCCCCACCTGGCCTCTGGTGATCGGTCCACGACTCCCCTCTCCCAGTTACTGTTCTGAAGGCTGTCTTTTTTAGTTTTATCATCCGGGACACACCTTAGCTGCCGCCCTTGTATGTGTCCTCAACAGTGACCTCTGGCCTAGCTCAAGAATGATGTCTCGCCTCGCCCAGAAAGCTTTTCTCTTTCTCTTGAAGGATTTGTGTTTTTGCTGCCTCCTATGTAGTCACTCAAGGGTTAATATTCCTTTCCACCCTACAATTAAGTAGAGGCCTGTAAGCCTACCAGCTCTCAAATACACACCAAAACGTGAGGCAAACACTTCGCTTTTGTTAAAAATAAAGCTTCCAATTCCGAAGCCTCCATGGAGCCTCCCATCCCAGGGCTTCATTTTGGACGGAAGGAACAAAGCCGTGCGAGAGGAGCTGTTCCCGGAGATCTGGAGCGCTCCACGGTCAAGTTGACAACTTTATGTAATTTCTCAAAACAGGCCCCATAGCCGTGGCCTCACCACATCATGAATAGTTCATGAGACATGTCTGCCCAAGTTAATTAGTGGCCCGTTCCCTTCAGAGCTGCAGTGTTAGGCATTCACAGCACCGAGACTGTTCGGCGTAGGAGGGGGCTCCGAGCACAGGTGATGGGGATGCCCTGTCATTTCAGGGCCCCGCCCGTTTCCTAATGGGTCTCAGCTGGCTCTTCCACGCGGCTGGCTCTCCTGTTAACGCTGCAGTGCGTGCCATCATTTCCATGATTGTCACCGAGAGGGGGTGAGCCCCACAGTGTGTAAGCAGACGTGAATCCGAGGATTCGGATAGGAAGTTTGAGAACAGAATAACCAGAAGTCACACCTGGCCCCTAACCACTCACACATTTAGGTTAGAAGGGGCTTGCTTGTTTAGTTTTATTCACGTAAGGCTGCTTTTTTTGATAAGCAGTACTAATACTTGGATTGCGTTGGTACTTAGTAAGCTTATCCATTGAAATGGATTGTTCCTGGCTTGGATCTCACCATTGGGTCTTTTTTTCTGAAAGGCAGGATTTGTCTATATAGCTCAATGCTCCCTAACCTTTTCATATATGCTTGTAGGGCCCACACTGGTCATCACAGAATATTGTTGCTATGGCGATCTTCTGAATTTTTTGAGGAGAAAACGTGATTCGTTCATTTGCTCGAAGCAGGAAGATCACGCAGAAACGGCACTGTATAAGAACCTTCTGCATTCCAAGGAGTCTTCCTGGTAAGACTGATTTTTCCATAAACAGTCAGCTTGTTGACAGGCAGTTCTGGGGTCATAAGGGTTTGCAATCAAGGCTGATTCTTTAAAAAAAAAAAAAAAAAAGTGAATTGAGGTACTTTGAGGTGCAAAATCAGAATTATTAAATCATTTAAATGTGATTAACCGTTTATAGAGTTCAAGTCGTGCTTTTAAAGAGTCAGGGAGTCTCAAACTTAGATTTCTGCTGACATGTTTTCCCTTAATGCATATTTAGTTTTTCTCCTAAGCATTTGTTCTGTTCATCAGAGTGAACTCGATGCCTGTTTCTCTTATCATGGTTCTGCGCTTGTGTGTCAGTCCACTTATCCTGTGGCGCTGGTGCTGTGCGCACCTTCACAAGGAGACACTGTTTATAGGAAAAGGTGCAGGCTTGTCAGGTCGTCACAGCAAAATCCTTTAAAGCCTCTAACAGGACGGCAGAAAGCTCTGAACGTAACTGCATGTAGGTTCCTTGCCATCTACCTCTAAATTATTCCTGTATACCTAACCCTTTAAAAAAAACAAACAAAAAAAAAAACCCTCATTATGCTATAAAAAGGCACATTTAAAGAAATTCTGTACCTTCGTTTCATCCCTTTCATCATTGGTAACATTCTGAATTTAAATGATGCGTAAAGAGCTTCAAGTTCTTTTAAGGAGAATTAGCGTGGTTTACAATCAGAATAGAAATCATTTCTGCCATGCCTGCCTCCTTTCCCCCCTCCCCCCCAAATGTTAAGTCATACCACTAAAGAAGGTTTCCTGGATCCATTCACCCCAGCAGAAATCCTGCGTCTCATGCCCAGCCCCTTATTCTTTATTTGTCTGCATGTGTGTGGTGGGTTTCTCTTCCTTTAAAACAGTTTCCCCTGTATTGAGAGATGATAAGACTATCGCCTAACCAAACATGTCAAACTCGTGGCAGGTAGGCCTCACACCAAACGAGCCGCCAGCTGCGAGTTTGACATGCTTGTTAACTCTGATCCTTAAGGAGACCTCGGTAAACTTTACTGATGGGCAGTTACCTCTTAGAGCCCTTTTATGTACTGCGGCTAAGGTTTTAAACCCCAGGTAAAGCTTTTTACCTTTTTTAAAAATCCTATAAATGAGTACCATCCAGAAGTAGTAAAACACGATACCAGTCACTTTTTGTTAGTTCCTCCAGTGCATATGCTCTTTCTGTGAGTAAAGGAGCCATTTTGCCTTATTTCCAAAGCTTTGCTATCCTGTATGTATTTTTTTTTTTTTAACTTTCTGAAATAATGGCCTGAATTGTTCGGTCCTGTGTGGTGTTCTCTGTGCTTTGGGATCCCATATGGGACGGGAACCATCCACACATTCTGAGGGAGAGAGTTGTCATGGTGTTTCTATGCTAATCACAAGCAGGAAGTACTAGAAATCTTGAAGGCTCTCCAGCCAAATGTTGCAGATTCAAGAGGTCCAGATGGTTCAGAAAATCATCCAAATTATTGGTGTTTATCTGAACCAAACTTGGTTTTTTTTTTAAAACCTTCTTCCATCAGTTGCTATATGTTAATGATCCCTGTCTTCTCCCCCATCACACATCCCAGAAGCTCTGGTTCTTTGTCTCTTTCATCTTGTCTCTTGGGGCTAATTTAGAGAGTTTGAAGTAATGTGGAATCATGCTTTTTTGGCTTTGTTTCCCATTACATCTCCAGTGGCCAGAGATGGGAAATTTCTAAACTGAGCACCGTTTATGATTGAACACACACAAAAAAACCCCGTCTAATTCCTAGGGATTGGACCCTAGTGTTGAGTGTTAAAAAATTCACCTCTTCACTGAACAAGATTTTCTTCATTCCAATTTGGCAATATTTTTTTGAATAAAATCAGCCTGTTACGTACAAAGGGAGGGATGGGGAGATAGAACCTGGCCAGTGGTTGTTCCCCTCATTCCCTATTTCATTTGATCATGATTTGATGGATGTTTTCTCTCTCCCAGTAGTGATAGTACTAATGAGTACATGGACATGAAACCCGGAGTTTCTTATGTTGTACCAACCAAGGCAGACAAAAGGAGATCGGCAAGAATAGGTGGGTACTGGTCACGGAATGAAACCAACTTCATTGACAGAGGATTTCTCAGACCACCGTGGAATATAACACCATTCCTGGTACTAACCATTTCTCCTTTATAGTAGGGTCCAGTGATAATAACCCTTGGAGGCCAGTGACAGTTAAGGTTTTTGAGAGGGTGTACACGGCCAGAACATGGGTTATTGTATCTAAGCATCCTAATGCATCTATGAAAATTTATGCACATCAAATATGTATTTTGAATATCGAAATATATCACACGTATATTTTGCATGTCAAAATACAAGATTTTTTAAAGAATATATATTTTATTGATTTTTTTTTTACAGAGAGGAAGGGAGAGGGATAGAGAGTTAGAAACATTGATGAAAGAGAAAACCATCGATCAGCTGCCTCCTGCACACTCCCTACTGGGGATGTGCTTTCACAACCAAGGTATTATACATGCCCTTGACCGGAATCGAACCTGGGACCTTTCAGTCCGCAGGCCGATGCTCTATCCACTGAGCCAAACTGGTTTCGGCAATACAAGATTTTTGTGCTAATCACCATTCTTCTCCCCTGATGATTTTGTAACCTTGCCTGGGATTGTAAATATGACTTTGTGATTTAATATTTACCCATCCTCAACATGGGGGAAGTCATTGGCCTGCAGGTTCACATCAGTTCGTTGGTTACTTTTGGTGTTACCGTTGTCACCGTCTTCTGTTTTCCTCGCCTTTAAGGTTTCCGTTGCTTAGAAAACCCTCCTCCTCTCCACAGGCTCCTACATAGAAAGAGATGTGACGCCAGCCATCATGGAGGATGACGAGTTGGCCCTGGACCTGGAAGACCTGCTGAGCTTTTCCTACCAGGTGGCCAAGGGCATGGCCTTCCTGGCCTCGAAGAACGTGAGTGGGAGTGGTTTTCAGACGGGTCTCTTCTCCCAGAACGAAGCCTTTCACGGCCACAGTTAGAATGCAGAGTGTCGTTTTGAAGTGTGGTAACCAAAAGCAGAGGAAATGTAGTTTCTTCATGTCCCAACTGCTGTCTGTTTAGAATTCCTGCTCTCATTTATAAGACCTAAAGTAAAAGTTCTGTCTAAATGAGCTTTCTATGAATATTTTTTTGTAGGCGATGAATTCATGTAAGCCTTTTGGCTTTTAAGAGACACCAGCTATTCTTAGAGAATAGATAGCTATTTTATCAGCAAAAGCAAGGGGAGTACCTCACGTAGCTGCAGTGCTTGGTGGGGCAAATGCTTGGGGATTATTGAAGTTAGACTTCTAACATCGCCTGTGTGGTTTATAAACTGTTGGGGGAATAGGGATCAGAGAGAATAATAAACATTGGGGAAAAGAATGGAAATAGGAAGAGAAGGAGGGAACCAAAACAAGGAACATGGCCTCTGGAAGGGTGAGAGGAATTCCCTAGGAAATGGGATGACCAGAATCGCATAAGGTCACAGATCCGACTTTTGTGTGTCAGTGGTGACATTTCCAAACCATTACCAACTAAAGGAGGATATAGGGTGGCTGAAGTAAAGAGCTTCTCCCTGTGTCCTTGGGAGAGGTCAAGTTGAAGTTGCAAAGACATTTTAGAAACTCCTCTATCAGAGGACATTCACAGTGAAGCATGCAAAATGAGTTTTCTTTGTAAAAAAAAAAAAAAAAGTAAGAAAGAAAGAAAGATACGATTATTTAATGTATTTTCCTATGAATGAAAGCAGCCCCAAGAAAGCATTTATTCAAGTTGGTTTTGGAAAGTGATTATAGTAATTAAGGTCCTAATGATGTGAAACACAAATTTTGAGCATCACTCAAGGCATAATTTAGAATGCTTATTTTTGGTGTGTACTGAGTAGTTTAAATGTAAAGCAAAAGTGTTGGGTGTGTATAACATAAGCAGCACTCGCGTGTTAAACATAGTGTTCACTCTTTAAAAGTTTAAAATAAATTTAAATGGCTTCTCCTTCTCCTCCCTCTCCCCCTTTTTTTTCTCCTCCTGATAGTGTATTCACAGAGACTTGGCAGCCAGAAATATTCTCCTAACCCACGGTCGAATCACAAAGATTTGTGATTTTGGTCTAGCCAGAGATATCAAGAATGACTCTAATTATGTGGTCAAAGGAAATGTGAGTATCCACTCTCTCTCCTTGACAGTCCAGTGAAGATTTTTAGTTTCAAGTTTTTATAAGAATTGTTTTTCATGATTTTCATAATGCAAATCCTACCTTTGAGAGACCATGCATTTTAGCCGTCACATTAAGTGTAACTTCAGCAAAATTTGCATGGTATGCTGAACAGCACAACTAACATTCCGATAATAGAATTCCTAATTCTAATTGTGTAATTATGGGGCATGTGAAGGAAGCAGAAATAGCCTTAATTTTCATTGTAGCCTGAGAATAGCAATGAACTCGATTTTGCTCCAGTGAAACAAACGCGGACCTGAAGGTCACAGCAGGAGAATTTTATTTTGAGATTGACATGCCATGTGAAAAAGATTAAAATCGAAGGGAACATGCAGACTTCGGTATAGCGAATGCTGGACCTGACAATCAATAGAGAGCTTATTAAATAGGTTCATAAGTTATAATTGGTTTATAGAACATAGTGATTTTATTTCAAAGTGCTTTATTTCACTGCTGTTCTCATTGTATCGCAAACTCTTGGCATTAGAATGCAGTGTCTTCCCATTTTAAGAGTTGCAGTGTGTCTTGGTGATGTTTGTCTGAGATACATCGGTTGGTAGAGTCTGAAACCAGAGTGCTTGATTTCCAGAGCATTGTCCCATTAGTATGGGAAGCCATGCAGTCCTGTGTCTATAGTCTTCTGCATCTATTTTCCCAGACCCATTTCTAAAGTCCAGATTTATTCCCAGAGGTAACTTATGTTAAGGTAATATTTTCTCCTTCATCGTTATAGCATCTCTGCGGATTGGCTACACTTGACTTTGGGTTTGTAGAAACAAGTGTTAGGTTTACCTTCTAATCAAAGCATATCTCTCTCTCTCTCTCTCTCTCTCTCTCTCTCTCTCAAGATAATTGACTTAAGAGAGAGAGGAGGGGAGAGAGAAAGAGAGAAAGAGAGACAATGTTTCTCTCTCTCTCAAAATAATTGACTTAAGAGAGAGAGGAAGGAAGAGAGAGAGAGAGAGACATTGATTTGTTGTTCTACTTATTTATGCATTCATCAGTTTCTTCTTTTATCTGCCTTGACTTGGGATCAAGCCTGCAACCTTGGCATATTTGGATGATGCTCTAACCAATTGAACTATCTGGCCAGGGCTAATACATGCATTTTTAATCAGTCTCCACTGAGGCTAGATTTTGTCATTAGGAGCATTAATGAAACCATGTTCCCTCCATGCTGGTGCACTGTTGGAAGGAAGAATGTAAGGTGGTTCTTTATCTAGGCCTCTGTACATAGTGACAGAAGAACAAAAGGAAGAAGGTTGCAGCTCCTGGACCCGGTCTCGGCGAGTTCCAATCTGGCCCCATCACTTAGTGGCTGTGTAACATTTGGCAAGAATTATCCAACACTTATTAACGTTGGTTTTTGTTTTGTTTTTTTTCCCCCCTCTTGGGAATGATCCCATCAGCTGCCTCATAAAGTTGCAATGAGGATTAAATCAATTAATATATGTAAAGTGCTTAGAATAGAGCTAGGCGCATTGTGGCTAATATTGATACTTATATGGCACTTACTATTTCATAGCTGTCTTATTTGAAATGTAAATAATCATGACAGTGGTGATGCTGCAGTTCCTTATTGCTTGTGATTGGTTGGAATTAACAAGGAAGTGTTAGTCCCCACCAGCTTCCATATTGTGGGCTCCAGCTCAGGCCAGGTGAACTGACCAATCACAAATGTCACTTTCACCAGGCTACCAGTAAGGAACATTTACAGACAAGTTGAAAGCAATGAAACTCACGTAGCATGTGACTATCCCCAAATTTACATCCTCATCATGTGAGGTCTCCTTGTTGTGTCACTTTCTCTGGAAATCCTTTCATTTTGCGTGGGTTCTCCTTAAATAAGTGCCAGGATTTCTTAACCTGGAAAATCATGGATCTTTTGTCAGAACATTGTTTTATATGCACAAAGTAAAATAATTGGGATAACCAAGAAAAGCAGTTAAATTGATTAAAATATTAAAAAGTAAATTTGTGATAAGACAATACATGTACTTTGTTACATGGAATAACATATCCTTAAAACTATGATTTCAAAGTGGTGATGAATATCAATACTGTACCAGGATGATGATCTCCATGATTAAATGGGTGACAAAGTCACAGGTCCTGCTGAGTCTCCTGTGCTTTATTGCCTTCATGCATAATTTAAGGAAATACCTAGCTTCATTTAGAAGTTAGTGTAAACAAGAATATAATCTCTTCCCTTCCAAGTTCATAGGCACCTGGATACAAGATACGTGTAGATAGCAGGTCAAAAGTCCCCCCAGTATGAGTTTCAGCACAAAATTTCAGGGGAGAGATTGGAAGAATTTTTCCCCCCTCTGGACTAAAATAACTTAAAGACTATGAAAAATTGTCTTCTTAATTTTAAACTCTAAGTGAATTAAAGGGTTGATTTAGTTTTCTATGGTAAATTAAGATCCAGGAATCCAGAACGTCTTTAAGAGGAACAGTCATGGAAAGTTTGGCTCGTGGTTTTAGCAGAAAGGGTTCAGGATGTGAAATTCAGCTGTTGAATTTCAGCCCTGAATCTGCCACTTCACCTTCTTGGCATAGTCACAATCGTCATCAACCACTGCTATTTACTGAGCGATCACTTACGCTAAACCATTTCTCAGCGGTTAGGAAGTTAGGCAGGACTGGGCTAAGCATGCTGACCCACATTATCGCATTTAAGCCACAAAACAACTCGTGACATTTGAAGTATTCTTTTTGTTTTACAGAAGAAGTTATAGAGGCTTAGTTACAGATGTTTAAGTGACTTGGGATAGTTTCAGTTGCATATTAAAGAAAAAGATATATAGGAGTACGGGGCCAGGCCTGTTAAGAGGCCTGTGAAATACCCAGGGACCATATCTTTCCCCTTTCCATTTTCGTTGTTTTTAAATTTACCTAGTTGTGGAATATACATCTTCATTAATTTCAGAGAGGAAGGGAGAGGGATAGAAACATCGATGATGATGATGATGATGATGATAGATACATCAATGATGAGAGGATCATTGATTGGCTGCCTCCTGCACACCCCCTTCTGGGGATCGAGCCCACAACCCTGGGCATGTACCCTGACCAGGAATGAACACTGAGCCATACCAGCGGGACCCTTTTCCATTTTTACAGTCCCTGGATGTAGCCCTAACTTTGTAGTCCAAGATGACCACCACTAGCCAGACACACCAGAAGGCAAGGTAGAGGAAAGGACAGAAGGACATGCCAACCATATCTTAACGTTTTCCTAAAGTTTCTATTCAGCAGTTATAACTTACTGTCCCAAACTGAGCCACATGACTGCACATCCAGAGCAGTGGTGGAGTCAGGATTAGAACCCAGGGCTGTCTTTTCTCTGATGGCTGTGCTCTTACCCACCATGCTGTAGTGCCTCGGCGTCCCCATTTGAAAATAGGGATGGTATTCTCGTGAGCCACCTATTTGGGAGGTAGTTGGGGGTTCATCTGACGTCACAGGGATAAAAGGCTTTTGTGAGAGGCAGTCACGTTCTCACCCCTAGCTCTCTGCAGGAGCTACATCTATCATAATAATTTGCTATTCGGTTTTTTGGAGCTTTTTACTTTACATCGCTGAGTCTGCTGTGCTTCCGTTACAGGCTCGGCTACCTGTGAAGTGGATGGCGCCTGAAAGCATTTTCAACTGTGTGTACACCTTCGAGAGCGATGTCTGGTCCTACGGGATCTTTCTGTGGGAGCTGTTCTCGTTAGGTAAAACGATGCTTTGCCAAAGGCACCTCTCTGGGCTCGGAGCATCCTCTTCAGGTTTTGTCAGGGTCCCGCTTTCTTGGCGATTAACACTGATTTGCAAACCATTTGTGCCTCAGGAAGCAGCCCCTACCCTGGAATGCCGGTCGATTCTAAGTTCTACAAGATGATCAAGGAGGGTTTCCGGATGCTGAGCCCCGAGCACGCACCTGCTGAAATGTAAGGGCCCGGGCGCTTTCCTGCAGATTATTGTTTCCCCTTTTATTTTTATTTTTAAAGACAGAAACCCAGATGCTGAGGGTTTTCGAGTAGGCAGTTTGCAATGCCGCTTGGTTCCTGCTTAGGGCGTCCTGGTCAAATGTCACTTCTGTAGCTCCCTTTTATAATCTGTAGTTGCCAAATGCACAGAAAGTTTCGGGAGCATTTCACACACAGAGTATACCGTGCAGTCTGTCCAGCTGCCCAGCCTGGCATTATTTTGGAGACAGTTTGCATGGTATATGCCTGAAGCCAGGTGAAGGGCGTTGAGGAGTGATGGCAAATGGCCCTCATTCTGCAGGTATGACATCATGAAGACCTGCTGGGATGCTGATCCCCTGAAGAGGCCGACGTTCAAGCAGATCGTTCAGCTGATTGAGAAGCAGATTTCAGAGAGCAGCAATCATGTGAGTCCAGGCCCGGGGTCTCCCCTCTCTGTCCCAGGGTGTCCTCCTCCTCAGGCTCTGGGGGTGAGGACACCCCTTCCCACTCCTTCTCTCCTTGCCTTAGGTTGTAAATAGGACTTTGGATGGGAAAGGAGAGGAAAGGAAACAAGTTCTTTCTGCCCAAGCCCCCTGCTCTGAGCCAAAGAAGGATGTGAGCTGGGGCGGGAAGAAGAGAGGGGAGGACTTTGCGTTTGAAAGTGTGGAAGTAGAAGTTTCCATAAGGATTTGCCACGGGTCCTCCCCCAACCCGAATGCTGGTCATGGGGTCTGCATGGGCTCCCTCACATGTCAGGGCCATTCAGCCTCCGGAGGGTTGGGCTCATGTGAACTGGAATAAAAGCGTAGAAAAGACAGCTTGTTAGCGCAGTGGAATGAGCTTCTGCTCACACAGGCATAGCCAGAAAAATGGCACAGAGCTGTGTGCCCACAAGCTGAATAGAATGCAGAGTTGTTTGAAGTGGCGAGATCCTCCCAGCGATTTGGGAAGGGAGGAAGTCAAAGCCCAAATCCGTTATTTCTTCTGATTTTAAGGAAGAGAGTGATCCTTACTTTGGCGCGGATTTTTTCTAACTTGCCTTTTTTCTGGATTTGTGCTTGGGGCTATCTTCCCTTTTCTAAGCATCCACCACTGGTATTTTGGGGTGAAAGCTTGCTCTTCTGGGTGGCAAAGTGGGTTTCACGCTAAACAGCATTTTCCACCCAATTGCTTGTTTCTAATGGAAGGGCCGCAGTGGCTGTTGGGTTGCAGTTAGCTACCTAGATTTATAAACCTTTTAAATAGGTTAGGCCAATGGTGGGCAAACTCATTAGTCAACAGAGCCCAATATCAACAATGCAACGATTGAAATTTCTTTTGAGAGCCAGATTTTTTTAAACTTAAACTATATAGACAGGTACATTGTAATTAGGGTACTCCTAAGCTGGCCTTTGCTAAAAACTCAAGGGGCCAAAGAGCCGCATGTGGCTCGCGAGCCGCGGTTTGCCGACCACTGGGTTAGGGAGTGCCTATTCTAGAAGTGCCCCAGCAGGAAAGCACTCCCCCCACCCCCCCCCACCCCCCATCACGTGCTACATCACCAGGCCTTGGGGAAAAGAAAGGGTAAAGGAATTGCATTTTCTAAGTCAGTTAGTATGACTTAGGCTGTGGACATCTTTAAACTCTCTGCGTCGGAGTCCTCCTCAGGTTATTTGGCGTTCTGAAGCTCCCGCAGTGCCCCTTCGTCACTGTGAGGATTGGCGTAATGACCGTGGACTTGTTTTCCCGCAGATTTATTCCAACTTGGCCAACTGGAGCCCCAACCAGGAGAACATCGTGGTGGACCACTCCGTGCGGATCAACTCCGTGGGCAGCAGCACCTCGTCCACCCAGCCTCTGCTCGTTCACGAAGACGCCTGAAGCAGAGCGTGTGTCTGGGGTCTCCCTGGCACAGGGATCCCCGTTCTTCTGGTTTCTCTCTGACTGTTTTTGTTCGACTTGCATCCTACTCCCAGAAAATGGACACCCCACTGTAGTCCCGTCTTTAGGAGCACACGTTAGTGGCCGATGCTTTTGGTCATCTGCCCCTATCCTCCTGCCAGGCCAGGGTTCAAGCTGCGTCTATTCCCAGTAGCAGAGTAGCTCCTAGTACATACAACAACAAATCCGAGGTGGAGAAAGGGAGGGTGAAATGGGCGTTAGGCACCTTGAGTCCTTTCTGAGCCTTCTCTAATTTCTGCTTGAAAAGAGTGGCTGGTAGTGTATTGAAGTACATGGCAGTAGTCCCCTGCAGGCTTTGTCGCCATCCATAATGTCAGGATGGTGCAGTGAGATTCGAAGCTGAAACCTAAGCCACCGATGTGGAAAAATAGAGCATTCCTGGGACAAAGGTCAGAAGTCTGTGAATGTCTGGGCTTAAGAAATCTCCTCCTTCCTGCTGGGAACGAGACGTAGGCCATGAAAAAACGCTCCCCGAGCCAGAATGAAGACTTGCTGCTGAGCCGTGAGCCTCCGTCCTGCTGACCTGCTTTCTGGCCACTTTGCTGTCAGGGAGCTGGATTGGAGAGGGCCCCCCCCCCCCCCCATTCACCTTGTATATATTCATCCCGCAATTGTACATGTTCACATATCTGAGGGAGGAACACCCACAAGGTGTCCTTTCTGGATATGACTCTGCTCAAGTCTGATGTATGTAGAATAGATACAGAGCCAGGCAAGCGGGAAGGAACCAGTTAGTGCTTTTTTTTTTTTTTTTTTTTTTTTTTTTCCCTAAGAAAAACCATAATTGTTAAGCACAATTTTAAGAAAAATCTTATGTAGCCGAGGAACTTGCTGTACAGAGCTCCCAGAACTCGCCTATAGCTTCAGAATGGCATTGTGCTCAATGGATTTGATGCCACTTGAAAAAGATTCACTGCATGGCTCCAGCAGGAGTGAGAAAACAGCGCTGTCTTGGTTTGGATGCTTCTGTAGCAGAAAAGAAAATTTAGATTCAGGCTCCTCTGCAGACACGTTCTGGACACTGGGCCAGTATCTATATATAAAGTGTGTGTGTGCGTGCGCGCGCATGTGTGTGCTTCTAGGCACATCTTTTGGGCGGTATTTTTGCCCTGAGCCCAAGAGGGACCTTATACCCAACAAGTAGCTTGGCTTTCATTGTCCATACTGCTCTCCTTTCCCTTCACCTTGCTCTCCTGAGGAGCTTGCCAAAAGCTCACATAGAAGCATGTAGGAAGCCGAGTGCCTAAAGTACCTATTTATTTGCAATCCACCGCCACTTAAGGCACTCCATTATTTATACTCTGCATACTGTACTCGTTCCTTAGACCTTCGTAATGCTATTCTCCCACTGGAATGTATTTAAATCTCACCCTTTAGGCTGTAGCCTGGATTATTATTCTTAGTTTTACCTTCTCTTTCATCACTGCCCAACTACCGGAGGTCCATGTGGTACATGGCAAGGTTTGTGTGTTGTCTTGCAAGATGGAGGTATGCTGCCTTCACGGTTCCCCCCTCCTAGCCCCGTAGGTGACATGTAGAGAACTGTGGCCATTTATCTGGAAGTAACCATTTGCACTGGAGTTCTATGCTCTCGCACCTTTCCAAAGGTAACTGGTTTTGGGGTTTTTGTTGTCGACGTAAGAGATTGTCGCTGTTTGCCATACTTGGAAAATTTCCTTTGCGTTGCTGTTGACTTTGATTAGAGTTAAGAAAAGTGGTTAACTGTAGATGTCTAGGTACTACTTCAGGGGCACTTCACTGAGAGTTTTGTCTTGGATATTCTTGAAAGTTTATATTTTTATAATTTTTTTTTTTTTTTACATCAGATGTTTCTTTGCAGTGGCTTAATGTTGGGAATTATTTTGTGGCTTTTTTTTGTTTTGTTTTTTGTAAATATTGAAATGTAGCAATAATGTCTTTTGAATATCTCCAAGCCCATGAGTCCTTGAAAATATTTTTTATATATATAGTAACTTTATGTGTAAATATGGAAGCAGTGCAAGTTTAAAGGATGTTGGTGTTCCATGTGTTTTTTTTTCCCCTGATATGTTGTCCAACTGTTGACAGTTCTGAAGGATTATAATAAAAATGTAAATATATAAATCAAGTCAATGTTTTGATTATTTCAAGCTGACATTAAACTTTAAGGTGGTAAAGTGCACTCACGTGGATATTAGGAAGTTTTGTGCTTTCATGTGCACAAGGTCCAGGTCAGACTCAGAACACTAGGATTTACATACTTGAAATTTATTAAAAAATTCAGGACATTTATTAAGGATTTGATCTGTGCTATTATTTTCTTATCCTATTCTTACAACTCATGGTCTCCAGTTACATTGAAAAATAAATAAAAAGGAAATGTTTGGAAAATTCTACACATCACTATGATTATTGATAGGTTGACTCATGGAATGACCATTTTTATGGGCAAAATAACCATCCAATAGTAGCAGTTTTATGTGACTTCAGCTAATATAACTGGCACATTTCCTTTGACAAAGACTTTCTCAAACATGAATTCACAACAGTGACATGAGTTTCCCAGGCAAGTGGTTTGTATTCTTGTTGCTTGGGTTTGGAAGAGAGGCCAGTTCACCTTGAGATGTTCCTGCTCCACCTTTCCATCCTCACTTGCTTCTGGAACTGAGCTAAGTTCTAGCACTCGCTTGGAGGGAGGAAATTCTGCCTGTTCGTTCAGGGCCACCTCAGGGCTGGAGCATCCTTGGTGATCAGGAGGTCTTGTCCAGAGCAGCGGATCCTGCACACAGCCTGTGAATTCTCCCAGCTTGAAACAAAGAACCACCTTGAACACATAATCCTATTAAGAGTGTGTTAGGCACACAAAACACATCAGTCTCAATTTCCTTTATTGACGTGGCATCTACCTCTGCAGAAGTGTCTCCTGAGGGAAGGGGAAGGGTGAAAGGTGACCTGTAATGAAGAGGAATCATCTTAAAGGAGGGAACTGTGTGGCCAGGAACATGTCAACAATCAGTGAAAAACTGACCACAGTTCAGTCAGGTGATTTTCATTATTTCAGACAGGAATGAATGCTAACTGACCACAAAACAATCATTTCTGAGTGTTATTTTAGTGTCATTTGGATTTTTTTCATGTGAGTGAAAGCTTGAGTTAGAAGCAGACAACTGCCCCTGTCCTTTTAGTCTGTAGCTATGTCCTTCCCCAGCCCAGCTTTTGATAACAAAAGTGTAATCCAGGCTCAAATTGGGTTCAAATGTTTTTGCTGCTGTCTCTGCCACTTGCTGTGTGATATTGGGCAGATTAATCTTGAAATCTCAGTTCCCATAATAGTTGTATCTACTTTAATGTACTAATATGAAGCTGTCAAGTCTGCCTTGTTTGTATGCCTAATACATACATAGTGCTCAAAAATTGTAACTGGTCATGGCTAATTAGTCTTAGTAGGAAGCAAGAAGATGCCCCTATACCAGCATAAGGCAGTTGTTACCCATGATGAATTATACAGTTGCCCTGGCCAGTGTGGCACCATGGTTGGAGTGTCATCCTGTACACTGAAAAGTAGTGGGTTCAATTCCCAGTTGGCACATACCTATGTTGTGGCCCAGGTTGGGTTGCATACTACGGAGGGCAATCAATCAATGTTCTCTCTCACATTGCTGTTTCTCTTTTTCTCCCCCCCCTCCTTCCATTCCTGCACTCTGAAATCAATTAAGCCTACCCTCAGATGAGGATCAAAAAGGATTATACAGTCTAAAATTTGTTTCTTGTTTTTCTCTTCCATGCAAATGATATTGTACTAGTTTGCTATGAAACTTGACTCAGAGATTTCTGTTTTATTAAAATCCCAACATTTTGGCTAGGAATTTATGACTCTGTTCTTGTCCCAGCCTTTCTTCTCGGCTTTTCTCCATTACCATAGGCCCGTGGTGGGCAGACTGCGGCTCGCAAGCCACATGTAGCTCTTTGGCCCCTTGAGTGTGGCTCTTCCACAAAATACCATGACCTGGTCGAGTCTATTTTGAAGAAGTGGTGTTAGAAGAAGTTTAAGTTGAAAAAATGTGGCTCTCAAAAGAAATTTCAATCTTTGTACTGTTGATAGTTGGCTCTGTTGACTAATGAGTTTGCTGACCGCTGCCATAAGCCCATCAATATACCCCACTCTTGATCCCATCCTCAGACTTCACAGGTCTGTTCTTTCCCAATAGCCCCCACCTTTCTAGACTCCCTGAGATTGCTCTGAGTTGTCATGGCGCTCTACACTCTTTACAATCTATTCTGCCTGGTAAATATAATTATTTGGTGTCTGGTCTTGACTCCTTCCCCCACTGTATCCAGACTTAAAAAAATCCAATCAACATAAATATCTATTTGTTCTAGAGTCACTGACTTTCTTATTTGCTTGTTAAAAAATTTAATTACCCAGAAACTCAGAAGCTCAACTGCTCTGAGGTCAAAAGAAGTTACAACTTGCTCAAGTTCACTTACTAATACCTGGAGGCAGAATCTGAATTCAGATCTGAGTCTCTGTACTTCAGTGATGGCAAATATCTGGTCTTCCCAGGCTGGCACCCTATCTCCCTTGTTCATGCAGCCATCACTCACAGGACTCTCCCATGGGCCCAAGACACGTTAGGAGTCTAAATCTCCAGGAAGCTCAGAGGAATCAACTGGAGTTGGTCTAAGGGCAAACATACCTGTCACTTTTAAATCATTGCCAAGTTTCCGTTTTCTTGAGGCACAGGTGTTCTCTATCTCAGCTAGCACACTGCTTCGTGCATGGCTAATTAATACACTCTGAATGAATAATTAAACATTCCATCGGCTTGGAGTAAGGGAAAGCCATCTGGGACGAAATGGATCCAGAAAAGATAGGAAATAGAAGAAAACACAACTTTCCCTACCCCCAGATTGGGACCTAGAAAGACCGCTTCATTTCA